AATACAATTATAAAATGCGTTAGTCGGACGTTCAAAAACGCGGTCTGTATCGATTCAAGCACGACGCATCGTAGCGCCTGGGAGGGCCATTGTGATGCAGCACCCAGGGCTTATTTGCATACATACGCGTTTCCTTTTTAGTATCATTATTTTTTTTTATTTTTTTTTATTTTGGCTTTTTTCGGGAGTTTGAAAAGTATTAAATCACGAGCTGGAAATCATCGGCCTAGCAGGACGGATCACGGGTCACGGTTTGCCGGTGTTTGCGCGATTTCCTATACGCATTCCTATATTCCGTTTCACTCTCCATCCGAACGCAACGGACGCAACAAACTGATGGAGCCAATCAACCTCTCAACCAATTACACACTAAAAAATAAAAAAAGTGCAGTATCGCGTTGAATTCACTGTGCGTGGTTGGTCCAGTCGGTGATAGTGTACGTACGAAGCGGAGGCACGCGATTTAGACAAGTTGGTTTCAGCGAATGTCGTTTAACCGACCCCAGTATATCAAATTTATTTATTTGCCACTTTTTTTTTGTGTGTGGCAAGAAACTCAGTGGCGCCATCTATTGGGTAGCCCCGGCACACCTTCCGCTCACGTATATTTCGTCATTTTGACTCATCATTCTTTTATAGTACCAGTTAATTAAGTCTGACAGGGCTATACGAGGCCATTTCCAGAAGGTAGCGTGTATATTTGACTTGGCAAATACTGCAAAACCTTGTAGTCCAGTTCAGAAGGGGAAGTGGTCGGGGGCTATTTGCACACTGGTGGAACCACGTTTCAACTCACACGAGAAAGAGCGCATGGAGAAACCCAGTTTCGGAGAAAAGTGGCGATGAGCCTCCTTTTAGCGAATTCCGCCTCCACGAAGCGGTGTGTACGGATGGGTCAGGTGGGTTAACATTTTTGCCTTCAGCCGCCGCAGACTGTCGCCGCGAGAAAAAAAAAAAAAAAAGGGGGGGGGGGGGGGGGGGTTAAAAGGCGCCCCAGTGATACACGCGCGAGGTAGGGTAGCCTTTTTTTTAAACAGCGTTCCTTTTCGATAATCGGGATTCCTCGAAATTGAGGCCCCCCTCTCTCAAAACCGATCTTCGATAAAACGAGTCCGTTCTCTAAAACGTGTTTTGATGATATGGCGTTTGATCAACCGTAGTAAAAAAAAAAGAAAACGTACAAAGGCAGTGAGCGCCGTGACTATGCACTTTTGGAGCGGCTTAATTAGGGAGTTTAAGAATAACGCACGCAATTTAAGCGTATGCTAGCACTAAGTTTAGCGATTGCGTTAGCACGCGCTACGCAAGAGAGTTCTAGAACAGCGTTTCTCCGCCGCGACGCAAAAACCCAAGCGTCTCCCGCTTGCAGTGCCACCAAGTTACATCAACATTTTTTTATTATTATTTCACGCACGAAGTGATATATTTTGAAGAAAAGAAAAAGAAACGCACTTTTTGGTCCAGATTAACGTTTTAGATTTTGTTGAAATGTGAGAATGCGACGGGAGCGGTCGATCGGTTGCGTCCGCTTGCGTTGCACCGGCAAGAAAGATTCCGAATATACTGACCTTTCGCATACCGCAAACCTTTCGCCGACAAATGTTCGCGCGTCCCAAGCAGCAAGTCGTCGGCGGTCGTTGCCGTCCTTGGGAGCCGCCATTCTCTTACTGTGCTTGTCTTGACTTTAGCCAACTTATCTCGCATTACGAATCCTTCTTGGAGGAGCGAAAAGACTTTTTGCGTACGTACGGAATTTCCGTGAAATAACGTATATGCTAGAATAGCGCGCGCAAAGCGCAAAACTCGGTTAACGTTCGTCGTATGCGAAGCGGTGACGACGCCATTCTTTGCATACTCAAAGCCATTGCGTACGCTATTCCAAAGCTCCCCAATAGGGAGTTTTCGTAGACCGCGTTTCTTCCTCTGCTAAGCCCTCCGCAACGACGAAGTCGCTTGCGGAGGGCTTAGCAGAATACTACACACCTAGCAACATTGGGCTTTAAAGGGGTACGGAAACAAAAATTGAAATATTCAGATTTCGTTCGTAAATGAGTCAAGCATGACGGATAATAGCCGTAAATGATAATCGCGCGTTTGTATTTTGAACAACTGGCTATATTTTTCCTTCCAAATAGCGCACTCGAGCAAGCGCTCGAAGAGAAGCGAACGGAGAGCGCGATGCGTCATGGGATATCCGGCGCAAACAAAAACAGTAGGAAAAGACTCCCCGCATTCGTGACGTAGAAAGGCTGGCGCGGTTATGAGCTTTGCCCTTGGTGGCGCTGGCAGCGTTGTGGTGGTGTCAATAGCGTCAGCGCGTTACAACCGAGCCGTTCGAAGTACCCGTGGGGTGACGAGCGGGTGGCTGGCCCGAGGAGCACGCAGCTTCCACAGCACTGTCAGCTTAGGGCTGAACGGGATGGGGAAAGCAACTTTTGTTCGAGTTTTGAGCGACGGGCTAATATTCTAGGGGGAGAATGACTGTGTCCGGTTGCACGAACGAGGGTCCGAGAAACAGCGGAGTCCATCCTTTCCGTCTTCTTGGACCGTTTTGTACAATGCGCGACTTGTGAGTTGGGGAGGAAAGCTAAGAGGGAAAATGTTGAAGTGCCAAAGAGCGGCGCTGCTCCGAAGGAATCTGCTACGTCACGACTACGTAGCAGATTCCAAAACTACCTCCCAAATAGGCTCCGCATGCATCCACCAGGTGCACATTGAAAGATCGTTTATTTAGCTTTAAAATTAGTTTTTTTGTGCCTTCCAACGGAAGACTGGTGTTTTTGAGCTTAGGGTGCAACATGCAACGCATTCAAGCTAGAAAATGAGCGCTGAAATTTCGTTTCCCTACCCCTTTAATGCTTAATTCCTGGAAACGTTATTTGAAGAATAACCCGCTTTATTTTATATCCGTCTCGTATGTTTGTCAATATAATAAAGTTCATTGAACCTCCTGAAGCTTTTACGTGCTGCTATAGCTATTAAACTCTTCAACTTATGTATAATGGACGCAAACATAGTTTCATTAATCAACCAATTTGTTGTCTTTTTTTCTTTTGTGGTAGTAGTTTTCAAACTAAACGTATCTCCGATTAAAGGAGCCTGTTTCTTCAGAAGTATGGGCTATAAAACTGTTTGTTACTACAAAAAATTGCGTGTGCATAATAAAGGGAGAGTAGTTTTTTTCGTTTTCCCAAGAGTGGTATTAACAAGGACAGCAATAAAAGCAGTGGAAGCATAAACTTTATTCAAGTTTTCGTCTTGCAACTGAGTTCATTTTTCAATCTTCTGGTAAAAGAGTGAGATGGCAGGAACTCGATTAGAAAAAAAAAAGAAAATGCACCTAGACGAGTTTGTAAACTGAAAGCATATCCTTTTATTCGATGTGGTGTAACGTACCCCATTTACGCAATAGAAACAACGCCAAACATAAACAAGTTCCGACTTCAATAAAGGGTTCAATAAGTAACTTCTTACTCACCATGTTCACTTCTGTTGAAAAAAAAAGTTAGAGAAATGAGTTCAAAAATGATAAAGAATAACAAGGAAAAATTGGAAGTAAATTTTATTATAAATGATGTTTTCTAACCAGCTTGCCCTGCATACCTTCACCGCTTTAAATTTATCTTCCTTTTTCTTCTTGGTGAAAATTTGCTGTGTTTGGTACAGCAGACCTCATAGACACGCAATAACTGTATTTTGTTTTTATCGTTAGAGAACTTTCCTCAAAAAGCAGAACCCGCAGATAGTGTGCGGAGGCCTTCAATGTTTCAAGCAATCCATCAAACTTGGCAGCAACAAGCAATTGCACGGTCTTTGAGAAAATAAGCAAGAACGCCTAAATATTGGGAAGGCCAGTTAAAAGTATAAAGCTAAATAAAAACCCACACTGAGATTTGTTTTTTTTTTTCAGTGTGTTTTTCAACTTTAGTTTGTGACAAAATGCTAGATTTCGAGAAAACAAAATTTTATTCCACCAAAAAAAAACAGTTTTTTTTTTTGTCTTTCTAGCGTTTTGAGCGAACATGGCCATTGCTAAAATTGATTTTTTTTTTTTACAGGTTATCCCCAAATTATATTTATACTTCAGCCCAAAACGTTAAGTTAGAATAGTGTTTCTCAATTCTCGATGTTTCGCGGACCCCTTGTGGATCGGCGGAAATGATGCAGGAACCCGTTTGTGGTGAAGGGAAGGAAAATATATAGGTTAATTATGATAATAAATGGCTATAACTAACTAATTTTATAATAAATGACTATAACTAAGGGCTAGTGCAAAGTAGACTTTGCTCATTGACAAACACGGGAAAACTCGTCCTAAGACTAAAACGTAACTTTTCAATCTGAAAAAAAAAAAATTATACAGCTTTTATTGCCGGGTTAGACTGAAGAGGCGGGGCTTTGCGGGCCCCTAGAATGCCTTCGCGGAACCCCATTTGAAAACCACTGAGTTAGAAAATCGCAAGAAAAAAAATATAAGTATAGCTACGCTACCAAACTGAGAATATGGAAATCGTTTGAGAGATGCGTACATTGCCTAAGTTATTTACTCCAATATAATAGCGATGTCCACTAGATAGTAATTGTAAGTTTTTTTTTTAACACGAAATATTTGCTGATTTATGTTTGAAATTTGAAGACATATTCTCACTACTTTGACCTCAGGTGATTACTGTTTGTATGTGTGCATGTATGAATGTGGGGTTTAAGGGGGGGGGGGGGTGGATGAAATGTTACAGGTGAAGTCAGGATGCTCACCTCTCAAATAAACTTCAGAAGAAAGTCCAGTACATTCTACCTGTGTTGAGTCTTATGCACTTCCCCTGTTCATTCTTAAAAGTTAACGCAGTGTTGATTCATAAATACTGTGCCCACTTGACTAGGTATGTGTGTGTGTGTGTGTGTGTGTGTGTTCGCAAGAAAAATGGCAGCCCACTTACCAGTCGACCCTAATGACAAAAGCTGACGACATTAAATTAATTTTATTTCTTGCTCTTTTTCAGTGTCCATACAAGGACGGAAAGAGGCACTCGGTGGAGCCACGTCTCAAAAGTTTATAGGTTTTATGTTGGTCGTAGAATCTCAAGACCAGAATAGGATTACGCAAGACGTCGGAAACTTTCAGGTAAGTACGCCGACCGCAGGAACGCGTTCTGCTCGAGGCTCTATTTGTAATGCATTGGACACAAATTTCGTATTGAAAGTATATTTAAAAAAAAAAAAATGTGTTTTGTTCAATGAATGTATCAGAACTTGTATGAATTATGTATTGCGTATGTATGTTTTAATGCGAAAGCAGTAACTGGTCCCATGGAGCATAGCCGGCGTCGTCTGTAACCGTCTGTATCAGAAAAACGGCACATACAAGCGAAGTTCCCATTGGCTGCGACGCGTCATATCGGATGTTTCGTCACGGGAGCCGGCCCGGCGCTCAAGGTCAAAGCGGACGCGTCTCAGCAATAAAACACAAAGAAAAGCAGAGGAACGCAGGTGCATCGTCATGGAAGCCGTGGAGCCGGCGGGTGCGCCGCGCATGCGCAGTGGGGCAGCGTGATGTCACCGCCGGCGTGCCGTGTGAAAAAAGAAAACGTCGCGTGCTGGCTGTAGGAATGTGCTGCGTGTAAAAATGCTTTCGCATTCCTACACGTAGCATGGCCTCAACGTAAATTCACTTTCCTTATTTAGTGGTAAAAATAATGTCACGACTTCGTGTCATATGACGGATACTCAAATTCAGTTTCCCCGCTAAATTTATCGTAAATTTGACGTCACGTGGCCTGAACACCAATCCAGTTTCCCCGCTACATTTAGCGGGGAAGACGTCACATGACCATGTCACGTGACCTATAGACGAATTCAGTTTCCCCGCTAAATTTCGCGGGAAAAATGACGTCACATGGCTCTATGTCACGTAACCTACACAGAAATATAGTTTTCCGTTAAATTTAGCAATAAAATTGGCACGTGATCTGTCGCGGCTCTTTCGGATTATTTCTGCAGCTGTTCGCTTAATTAGACAAGAACATAGTTGGTTCTGCCCGAATTGTGCTTTTTACAGCGGAGCTGTTAAGGGCTAGTTTCCCCAGTTTCGTGTCCGTGGACAAATAAATCTCGACAAAACCCTCTGGACAGTTACCGCCATCTATAAGCGACGGCGGCGACCAGACAACCGGCTTGCCGGTTGTCTGGATGTCGCTGTCGCTCATAGATGGCGGCGCATAGTACAGCTCCGCCGCTCTTCTTTCATCACCAGAGTGGAAAGGCTGAAAGTTTTTCTTCTTAAGCATAAGCATATTTCTACCCTTCTCATGTGTCATAAAGATGGAAATAAGAGGGGGCGACGTACCAACTCAAGACAGCCAAACGATAAAATCCCAAGAGGAAAGTAGACGTCGCGGTCAGTGGGAATGCCCCCAAGGGTGCCCAAGCTCGCCCTATTCGGTGAACAAGTCGTCTGCTTCATGCGGAGGAGTTAAGATGACGTCAGAACGCCGAGCTCTATTTGACTTTTATTGAGAGGATGGTGGCTAGACCTCAAGGCTAGATGCCTTAAGGTCTACCCACTATTTTTTTTTCAATCAGCCAATCAGAGCTTGGCATTCTGACATCGTCGGAACCCCTGTGCAAGGAGCAGACGAACTTGCGCTCCGGCAAGAAGCAGACGAACATGCGCTCCGCATAGCGTCCAAGGGCGCCCAAGTCCCTCCAATGGTGTCCTTTGGTTTTGTTTGTTTTTGGCAATCGTTGGGGGCGTGTGCCTCTAAACCGGAAGTTTCCCCCGGTTTTACTTCTGGTGGCCTGATGTCACCTCCAGAAGCTTCCTACCTCCATGTCATGTGTCGAGCTCCCTCAGTAAAAAACAGCAATTGGCTGTCCCGTATGCTTTGGGAGAAAGTCGAGCTCTGGATATTTTTTAAAGCACGGTTAAATGTATTTTTTATGTATAGATATTAGCACTGAACTTATTCTATAAGTAGAATTTGAAGAGGAGTATATTTTCCCGTGCAATTTGCACTACTGTTGAGACCTATTATAACGAATTCGGTTATAATGAAATAGCGACTACAGCGAAGCGATCACGATTTCCCATTCCCTTTTTGCACTTTGTTATAATCGAAGTCGGGTATAACGAAATAGCGGATATAGCGAAGTGACTTCCGATTCCCATCGATTTCGTTATAACCGGTCTCGACAGTCTAACCAGGTATGAAGAAACTCATTGAATGTCACAACATTGAATGTATATAAACAAAATACATTGTGGGAAAATTGAAAAATAATTTTAAAAAAAGAAGAAAAAAACCTTGCCAGCAATAAAGAGAACAATATAATCTTACTTGTTTTCAAGTGTTTTTTTACTTCTAATTGTCACAGGCGTCCACAACATCAGTTCCTGTTTTGACGATATTGGGCTTAGGTGGACGTCGGGTCATAGATACACTCTGACTTTCGCTTTTCTCTTTTCATTCATGTCCTTAAACTTTCGCATTTTGTCCAAACTGTTAGTGTCACATTCTCACTAAGTTTGAGGTACCTCAAACTTTGTGATGCGGAGTTTATTTACGCGGGTCGAAAAACACTACTCTTTCTTCACTGAAACACATGGTATGCTTTTTACATCATGGTAGCAGTTGGCTTTGTAACAATTCCGATCATTAGTAGCAGCATAAATTCTAACTAAAATGTTCAGGCTGAATCAATGTAACTAGAAATAATGGTAAAATTGGGTACTTGATTTATACTGGAAGAACATGGTAGTTTATTTTTCTTTGTTTTTCTAAGGTGTCTAGTTTTTACGCCGGCTCAATTGGGCAAGTAGCTTGTCCGGCATTATGTGTGATTTGTCGATTCTAAGTGAAATTTGAAAGCAAGTGAGCGAGTACAATGTTTAATTCGAAGGATTACACCAGCGCGAAGCGATCACCATCTATGGCGTGGCTTCTGCAACGTGTGCAGTGTAGTGTCCTGCCAGGAGTAGTTTCGCTTTACATCGTTTTACCTTGTGTCAGAGCATAGTAATAAACTATAACCATAGAAACACAGAGGCACATACTAAAAGTGCAAGATCATGCGGCATTCATTGCATTTGATTGGCTTAACGAAACGTAACACACGCACACAATGATGACGGGTTCCTTGACTTTCCTTTTGTCACAGCTTGATTACCCCATCAGCTCGCGGCGTCGGTTGCGCTCAAACTTAAAATGAAACAAACAAAAAAAAGTACACCGTAAAAAGAGTTCGTGAGTTCACTTTCCCGCAGAGCACGGAGATATCTAATCACGGCGAACAACAGAAGGATTCCAGCCAATGACGAAGCTTAGAATACGATTAGATCTGAAACGCGCAATGAGCGCTGGGAGATTCAGCAAGTGGAAGTGTTCAGTGTCCCTATTGTCACATCGCATGTTTAAAGCTTTAAAAGACCTCCACGGGCCTTTCCTGATTTTGGTGGTCCGGCCGCACGACGTCGCGTTGTACGTTACTATACATGGTGCCATCTGATGTCGATTCTCCCGCTAAATTTAGCGGGAAATCAACGTCACAGTTTCAAGTCGTGGCGTCACACGACACCGTGATATCACGTGATGTCGTTCTACCGGTTAGATTTAGCAGAAAAAACTGATGTCGCGTGATCTGAGGTCACTCAACGTGACCTGCCCTCACATGACATCGGGTCACGTGACATCGATTTCCCGCAAATATTTACCGGAGAAATCATCGTGGGTTTAGGGTAACCTGACATCACGGTGTTATGCGACGTCAGTATCTCGTGACACCATGCGTCACGTGACGTGACGTCACTAGTGCCCCGCTAAAATCAGCATGGAGGGATATTCACTAGACGCGGATAAAAAGTGCAGCCCTCGTCAGAAACTCCATCATGTGCTATTGCAAGTTCATTGCATTCAACAAAGTGTAAAGGTCCGGCGATTTTTTCTTGTATGGCCATATTTTGATTTTTGTCGTTCACTGGAATCCATCCACTTCACCGTGATTGACTGCCTCCGTCTTCGGCAGGGAAGCGAACTCACAAACGTTTTGAGTGTATCCGGAGCGCAAGTTCGTCTGCTTTTTTTGCAGGGGTCGTGGTGACGTCAGAACGCCGAGCTCTGATTGGTTCTGACCTAAAGAATAGTGGATAGACCTCAAGGCAACTAGCATTGAGGTCTACCTACTATCCTTCAATCACAGCCAATCAGAGCTCGGCCTTTTGGCGTCACCACAGCCCCTGCACAAAAAGCAGACGAACTTGCGTTCCGTATAGTTTGTGAACCTCGAGGGAGTGACGGACGCGGTGGGACTGACACCTGTTTTTTCCTTCTTTTTCTCGCTGTTTCTTCTAGTTATTCGGGGATGCCTTGTCTAAATTTTCAGAAGACTGTCCGCACGCGGTGGTGCAAACGTCGCTCGTGCACAAGGCCGAAGTCAGCGTGCTATGGGTGGCGCCACCTGCCGGGTCCGGATGTGTCGTTTTCAAGTATGTCACTTCCGGAATGTTAGCGGAGCACTTCAAAATCAACGTAAAATGTGCATCGAACCCTATGCCAGATGCTGTCGCACCTAAACCTACCTATATATTGATTATTATGTAATTATGTTCGATCATACATGTCTGCTTTTGTTAAGCTGTTCCACTCTATAATATTGAATACCTTTAGGAAACAATAAATAAGTAAATGTAGTCAAATTTATATCGACTCAATGTACTGCATTCAGAGTCATGTAGTCGTGTGCTATCAACTCGGTACCCTTTAGGTCACGCCCTATATATTTTGAACGAAAGAAGAATGTTTTATAGTGTAAATGATCCGCATAACTTAACGCATAACAAACAATTGTTTTTATTAAAATGGCCGTGTGCACCAGTCAGACGGTTTCAATGATAGTGTCAACGACTGATAACATATCCTATTGGACCAGACATGTTTGAAAGGCAGCTATCGTGCGACGTTTTAGATGCATAACACAGATATGTGTACTAATTAAACTACAAATACAATCTCTTGGAATTAACGAAAATCAAATTGCAAAAAGTCAAATATGTATAAATAGGCAGTCCTTTCTGCTGCAGGGTGTAAATAAGCTAATTTGATTTGACACCTCAAATATTTCTTGAAGTCATATCGAATTAAGAACTATTCATCATTGGCTAGCGTACTTTACTGGCCTAGCTTTCGATGAGTGCGAAAAGTTGAACATTCTCTGTGTATTCTTTTTTTTTTTTACAGAGCCACTGTAGTTGAAAACCGCGACTCCTGGTATATGGACGAAGGAGAGTTAACGAAGGAGCTGTGCCAGGAAGGTAAGGTAAAGTTGGACGCCTGTTCCTTTCCTCCGACGCCCGTTTCGACAAGGTGCGATTAGGACAAAGAACAAACTCTCACAGTTACTACTGCATTGGCCTCTGTACACTTGGGGCTTATACCTCATTCAAACGAGCAGAAAGGTTCCCTTTATACTTCGTCTCACCTTAGCATGGACTAACCGCGAATGCTGAGCTAGCGCGAGCGGCTAGCCTTGCCTGCCTTGACTGGAGCACTCGCTGCACGAGCGCTCGTGCGGCCGCGGAGGCTTCCCCCCATTCAAAGCAACTATCTCTCGCTTTTAGAACGCGCGGCTAACAATAGAGAGTTTTAGTAGATCGTTCCGATACCTCCGATAGCCCCGATAACGATACTATGCATGCGCAAGGGAGGCGGTGGCGGAGTATCGGGATATCGTTATCGGAGTCATGGAAACGATCTACTAAAACTCTCCAATAGTCCATACTAACGTGAGACAAAGTATAGCTAAGAGACCTGGTCAGCGGTGAATCAGTTCGCGATTCTCCGCGCGTGTCACGTGCTCGGTATCCAAGAGCACGAGCTGACTCGCTGATTGCAAAGGGACCCACGTCTTTATGCCAGCCGCCGTTACGGTGACAGCTTTATAGACAAGCGCGCCGTCTACAAACAAGTCCGTTTTTGCAGAAACCAGACATCGTGTGAGGTGAAGCGTCTGCGCATTGGTAGCTCCACCAGAGCGGCACGACGTCATAGTCTTGTTTACGATGGTGTTGGTCGCACTGTAGCAAGGCCATAAGGCAGAGAGTCAGCAGCGGAGTGCGGAGGTTAGTCTTACGTCATAGCTCGCGCAACCAATAGCGTAGCGCCGCGTGGAGCCTATCTTCACGCGGGACTAAGCGGTGCGCTTGCATGCCCCCCTCTCCCCTTTTTCCGCTGCGTAGGAACGAGGACTGCGTTGTGGGGTTGGAACCGCGTATTAGTAGAGTAAGCTGGTTGGCGCGGAGGCATTTCGAGGTCTCATTGTATGCGCGGCGACCTTTCAGAGAAAATTAATCAATGAAGCCGAAGTTAAGGATCGTGGATAAAGAAGATACGGTTTTTACGTGTGAGATTGCATGTCGTTCCTATAGAAAATTCTGTTCGTCAAAAACCCAATCAACTGATGGTGCAGCTTATTACTTACCTTTGACCAAATGTCTAAAGCATACGATCTTTTTTTTTTTAATGATTGTGTAAGAACACTGCTTTGTAGGACACCCAGTTGTATGAAACTCCTCTTTAAACTCCTCACTATTAAGCTCTTGGTAGCTGTATAAGCTTTCCGAAACTTTTATGACTTACTGTCCCACGATGCACTAAGAGCACAAATCATAGGTCTTCCTTTAATCAGGTCATCCCCATGACATCAACTGCCCTTCTTATTGGTGCCAAACGATCAAAAAAAGACAGCTCATTGGCTATCTAAGCGTATCGTGGTGCAGCACACACTCTCGGAAGGCTATGTGCACGCAGCCTAGCAATCAGCTAACACCTTCTAGAGGCCTGCGCGCCCGCTCCGTGACGTCACTGTAGCTAGGCCAGCGAGCGGAAAACCGACGGTTGACTGAGCGCTGGGCCTTGTTGTGCCGACGCGCTGGCGGGAGGCCGCCTGTAGCTTCGATTGGAAATACTGTACGAATGTGTCTCAAACGTGCGTGACGACGACGTAATTAATCGAGCTACAGCTATTATCATCAGAAGTCCATAAAAATATTCGGACTTTTAGGCTTTACTATTAAGTTACGACGACTGAAAATACTTATGGTGAATAATAGCGACTACATTCTTTCCACGACCATTTATCTTGATAACCTTTATAAACCAAAACCACCGCATGCTCTGCAATCACATATATTTTAATTTAAACGCATATTTTTGACGTCCAAGCTTGCCACACAACTAGAAAATATGGGAAATAGTATTTTTTGCCTAGCGCCTTGCAGGTGGTTTCCCTGAAAGGTAAAATAAAACTAACAGCACGCTCTCAACCTCCCACCACAAGTTCAACGGGCACTTTTTTTAAATTTAAGAATTTGCAAGAAATTAAGTGACGGCCCGCTATTCAAGATATAACTTGTTTTATTTAGAAAGGAAGTAGCTTTAAAAGAGTGAAACAAGCAAATGCGATACGAAAGGTGACTGATCGACTACGTGCCAGGAAGTTATCATCTAATAATTGAACTTAACAAAATGTATAGCTCGTCTCATTAGACAACTTTTTTTTAATCCGTCTTGGGATTTAGTATGTCGGTCTAGAGATCTCGTGGTTCCTTCACAGTTTTTACAACAATGCTAACGTTTTGTTAACACAGACAGTCGCTTTCTGGCTGGAGCAAACCTTCCAACCTGCGTAAGGCAGCATTTCTCCCCTTACAAGTATTTTTGACAAGAAAGTTAGTTGACGAGAAGACGAATAGATGAAGCGCCGCATGAGGTGTGTGGTCGCTTGCGCAAGTGTCCAACTTTTCTAACTCCGGCAGCGTAGTTTGTACCAAGTCCCTGGCAATTCTTTGACCACGTAACCACAAACACTCAGCGATGTGCTGAAGCGACATAAGCTTTTTCACAACAACTTCAGCGGGCGTCACCACGCAGACGACCAGTAGTGTTAAAGGGAGAAGTTCTCTTCGATTTAAAACATCTGTCAGATGATGAATCACTCACTCCATCGTTAGGAAATGTCGTCTCCAAAACTAAATATTATCTGCAGTATTCACACTTGAGTGTCTTCACAGCCACAGACGAGAAGTATCACCCTACGTACGTCAAAATATGGGTCTTATACGAAAGAGCCGCTAACGCACAGTCGGTGATGTCAAATGCAAAAAGCAATAGCATAAAACAAAATACTGAGACTGGCACGCTAAAAGTAGCATATATTTAAGAACACTTTGGATGTAATAACTCATTCTAAAAATGCCTCTATGCCTCCTCGAGACTACAGAAAAAAGCGGAGTTGTTTATTATACTATCATTCTACCGGACAAAATGGCAATTCGGAAGTGCAACATAACAAGGAACAAACAAAAAGCTACCAAACCCATATACCTTCGAAGAGCTCGTAACTTGTGAGTGGACTTTCTGTTCTGCAGCATAATTTCCCGGACACCAAGGCACATGACACTTATAAGGCATTGATCGTCCCATCTGCACACACCAAAATATTAGAGGTTATGGCTGCCGAAGGACCCAATGAATACGCAGGGATCTTGTCTCCGCATTTCCAACGCTTTCTACGATGCCCATGCAAGATTGCGCAGCTAAAGTTTGACTTTGCCTTGCTGGTGAAACCTCTGCAATTTGATACAATCCCGCCGTCCCGTTGAGTATCTTTTTATTCAGTCGGTAAAAGGCTATAACACACTTTTACTTCCATCTTTGACGCTCAGACCAAACGCATCGGGGATAACGGCGCACAAAATAAAAAAAAAATATATATATATATTTTATTGGGTTTGCCGTGCGGGCTATCGCGAGTGCTCCGTCAACATGCATCTTCGCAGACGCTCGGCGGCGAAAATCCTCTGCTGGCTCTCCTCGCTTGGCCTGCACTGCGTTTCACTTAAAGTCGAGACGCAGCCAACGGTGTATACGAGCTAATGGGACCGGTCAGACAGACTAAAGAAATTGCACCGTCATGGTGTTCGTCGTATTTTTGTACGTGTTGTATCATCGCTGAACCAATCAACCATAAACAGAAAACGTCCCAGCGACTCGCGTTTTTGAAGCTGTTTTTGATCGGTTCCCATGACATCGTAGCGTCGGCTGCTTCTAGACTTGAGCTGAGGCGAATTACAGAAGGGACGTTGACGACGTAACAAAACGAAGCGATCGCATGCCTTAGTTTCTGTAGAAGGTGTTGAAAAGAGCCTCCTTGCCGAACGGTGTGGACCGTGTTCGCAGAGCAGGAGAACGACGACGAGCAACCAGAAGTACTTGACGAGTGTTGCGCCTGCGACGAGGCCAAGTACGAGATGACCTTCGAGGGACTATGGTCCAGATACACGCATCCCAAGGGATTTCCCGACAGTGAGTATCCTCCGTGGCACCTCATACGCCGCGTTCGTCTTTGCAAACGAATGTATACCCAGTGCGCTTTAGATAACCAAAAGCCGTAGTGTTGAACTTTCGGCGTCGACTAAACAGTGCGCAAGCTTTTGTCTTCTAGGTGGTGTTGGATCAATCAGTGGAAGCACGAGCGCGTCTCTGCCACGCGTTGGCCTTCTTTAGGACGCGTAGAAAATGCAGCATTCAAGGCTCCGTTATCAAAGAGGGGTTGATCGAGTTCACCTTGGGTACCAGTTTTCCAAACCAGACCCTTCTCCCACCCAACCCCCCCCCCCCTTTTTTTTTTCAGAAAAAAAGATAAAAAGAAAACGCGGACGGTGGCATCTTTTAGCAAGAACACTTACTGAGCGAATCAGAGCAATCCGCCAAAGAAAGTCTGCGAACTGAGCGAATCACTGCAATCTACCCAAAGAAAGTCAGCGAATGACAAAGTCGGAAAAAAGCATTTTATAGGAAAACAAAAATTTCAATCTACGTTTGAGAGCCTGGGCTTGACATTTCGCATCTGCTCACGTCATGTTTGAATGTCTGAGAGCAGACTGCATTTTTCGTTGAAACGGTTTGTCGGCCTATTCATCCGCCGAGCTCCTTGCATATGTTGCCATTGGCTCGACGAGTGCTTCGCGGGAATAGAGACGCGCATGTATATTTGTTGAACGTTACTCGTAAAAAATCCATTTATTTATCTGCTAGACATCGAGATTTATTTTACCAGCGACTAAGATTTGCATTTCGTAACATTCGAATGCTTGTCCATTCACCTTCACCACGTGTCACATCGCATATCACACGAGCAAAAAATGACGCTCGCTAAAAAAAAAAAACAAAAAAAAAAACTTTGTTTTTTTACTTTGGTGAAGGAGGAAGACCAGCGAAGCTGTACTAAGGTGGGAATGAAGTAATGGCCGGCCGCAAGTCGGCAAGCCATAGTGGAAATGCTCGAAAGGTTTCCGCCATCTACGAGACGACCGACTTACCGGGTTGTCGGGTTGGTTGCCGCCGTCACTCATAGATGGCGGTAGCTGTCCGGAGTTTTGTGTCGACGTTTATTTGCTGGCGGACGCGATCCTGGGGAAACAAGCCTTTAACAGCTCCGCTGTAAAAAACAAAACACAGGCTATTGCGCCTTCATTGCATTTGCCGAGAATGTTTGATTTTTAAATGCGGTATTTCGTGTTTCTCATTTTCCAGACGAGTGGTTGACCCACTTCTCGGACATAATCGGCGCGTCCCACGCGGCCGACTTCAAGATGTGGGAGTACGAGGGGTTCGCCTCCGAGGGCGTCAAAAGTGTCGCCGAACATGGTGCCACCAAGAAACTCGAGTCCGAACTCAAGGCAGAGGTGAGACGGCCATCGAAACTTCCCAAGTTTACATAAGACACGGTAGAGACCACCGTATGGGCTATCCGTCACAGTAGTAACAACAATTGAGCCGTTTTAGTGCTTGAAATCATGATATTCAGTTATCTGAAGCTTCATTTGCAATCTCTGGAAACGTTGTTTTTTTTTTCTTTTTTTGTACTAAAGAAATGTTTAAAACATCTGCGACAGAAACCGCATTTAAAGCTTAAAGGGTCCCACTTTTATCGTAATTATCACGAATTGCTTCCGCTCTACACTAAACGCGCCAGAATGGCGGAATAAAAAAAAATCACATAATAATCGGGAAATATCGTGCGGATGTTTTAAGCGTTGCTTGTTTAGTGGCTTTTTGGCGCGTTATAACATTCCATAAATTGTTGCATTATGCGGAGGCATGTGCGATGATAGTGACACAGAATAATGCTCTGTCTTTTTATTGGGATAACAGTATACAATAAACAAACCTGCGCGCACTTCATTTGAAAAACATTTTTGTATAGACCCATGCATGCAAAGCCACTTGAAGTGACTTGTTTCTGCACTTTGCAATCCTTTAAAATGTTCTTCTATCTTTCTTTCTTTTTTTCGAGCTACCTGTTGCATTTAGGTAAAAGCAGAAATTGCGAGTTTTAAAAGTAATTAATTCATTTGTCTTCTTACCAATGGCCGTGGCTAGAAATTTCCCTGCTCGCTTTTTTTGCATCACGTTAAAACTCATAGGGTTGTATCCATGTCGCAAAATGTCTAGGTAGTGTGTACTTGAGTGAAAACAGTGATTTGAAGACGAGAGAAACCTCTAGAGTGAGCGAATAACAAAAAACTTATCTTGATTTATTTTATGATACTTATAAACTCACGTGTGTTTTCAAAACCCGATAACACAATGAAAGCCGTTTACAACTCCCTGTAACGCCGAATTAGAGCGCAGCTCTTGGGGAGGAGGAGGGAAGGGTATTAGGGGGGTGGGTCAAGTGACCTCGGGTGGCCGGGGGGGGGGTCACGTGATTTTGGGGGGTCAAGTGACCTTGTGGGAGTCACGTGACCTTGGGGCGTCGCGTGACGTCGGGGGGTACGTGACCGGGGGGGGGGTCATGTGACGATGCCGATGACGTCATCAGTGACGATCTGGTGTGGATACCGATGACGTCATCAGTGACGTCACTGATGACGTCATCAGTGACGTCACTGATGACGTCATCAGTGATGATGACGATGCGGATGCCGGTGACGTCATCAGTGACGTCACTGATGGCGTCATCAGTGATGATGACGATGACGATGCGGATGCCGGTGACATCATCAGTGACGTCACTCATGATGTCATCAGTAATGCTGACGATGACAATGCGGATGCCGGTGACGTCATTAGTGACGTCACTGATGACGTCATCAGCGACAATGACGTCAGCGGGTAGGTCACGTGACCTCGGGAGGTATTCCCAGGTCACGTGACCCCGGGGGGGTCACGTGACCATCGTGAGGGTAACCCTAGTAACCCTTGTGAGGGCAACTCTCGTGACCCTCGTGAGGGTAACTCTCGTGACCCTCGTGAGGGTAACTCTCGTGACCCTCGTGAGGGTTACTCTCATAACCCTCGTGAGGGTAACTCTCATAACTCTCGTGACCCTCGTGAAGGTAACCCTTTTGAGGGTAACCAACCCTCGTGAGGGTAACCCTCGTGAGGGTAACCCTCGTGAGGGTAACCCTCGTAACCCTCACGAGGGTTACGAGGGTTACTCGCGGATACGCCGACGGCGACGGCGACGCCGCTCAAGCGGGGAATGGGCGCCTAAGGGCTGCGCTCTAAAAGTGTTTATAGGGTATGAGTGCTACGCTTTTGAGTTTCTAAACCATGTCTTTCCTTCGTTTATTTTATTTGAAGAAACTGCTGATTGCATCTCGGGAGTCACAGCAGGGTGATAAAGCATTCAAATACAAAACGTCAACATACAAAAAGTAGCTTAGAAAACACAACGCAAAAACAAATGCACTTGCAGAACGAAATTAGAGTCCGAGACATTTCTGTAGAATGATTGACCTACAGACATTACTGTATTTACTCGAGTAATAGCCGCACTATTTATGAACAAGGCCCTTGTGTCTACTTTCCCGCAGAGCACATATACAGCCAATCATCACGTTGCACATAAATAACATAGCAAATAACTAGATCAAGAACACGATTCTCCATACAAATGCAATCTTCACAGATGGTTTGCACGAAGACGTTATCTCTGTCCTGTAAACACCTTGAATCATGCTGTCGATAGCGGTAATTAGCAGTCCGCGTGCTCCGCGGAAAAGCGAACCCTCAGGTTTTCTTCATAAACAGTGCAGCTGTTAATCGAGTAAATACGGTATATATCCTTTAAAGGAATACAGTAGGAGTGGCACGCTACGAAAATCCCCTTAATTATATTAAAGAGCTAGAGACGGCAGCTATACCAACACTCGATGCATCGTGATGAACACTCATTCGCGTTATATCAATAATTTACTAAAAAAAATAGTTTTAACGACTGTGTTTACAAACATAGTGTCAATAATGTGTGTCAATAGTGTGCATGCGATGAGAAAAAAAAGATTCACATAAGTTTCGCGAAGAAATCGTGATTCTTATAAGTTATCTCTTCATTGATAGTAAACGCAGTCGAAATAAGTTGTTTAGGAAACTCGGGTAGCCTACACTCACAGACAATTCAAAAAACGCGGGGCGGGGCGAGTGTGTTCTAATGGGATTGCGACATTAGCTGATAAAAGTCGCCAGAGAACAAGTCACAAAACGAGGAGTGTGAAAGAATAGGCAAAACCCCGCGTTTCTTAAGCTATCAATAACCTCAATGTGTACGGACTTTTTTTTTCTTCAAATAATGTTTATTTTTACAAAATTTCTTATATTTTCCGCCAGTCTGGTAAGATCCGGACCATCATCAAGGCCCGTGGCCTGTGGTACCCAAACGTGAACGGCAAGACGTTCGCCGTGTTCCGGTTGGACAAGAAGCACCACGTGATGTCGGTGCTCTCCATGCTGGGCCCCAGTCCGGACTGGATTGTCGGCGTGAGCTCGCTCGAGCTGTGCCTCAAGAACTGCTCTTGGATCACCGAGAAGACCATGAACTTGTACCCGTGGGACGCTGGCACCAGCGAGGGCGTCACCTACGTCATCGTGAGTGCACGCCGCAGCCGTACGCTGTCCGAATGAGGATCAGCCTTCGCCGCCGTCATGACTATACATAGTTGAAGAGGGAGCACAACAAATCGTACCGCTGTAAAACCAGCCGGGCAAATCGGCAACCTGAACATATAAAGCTGAAACTTTCACCAGATGTTCATTTAGGTAGCGGATTTTATCTCAAGGAATTTCGAGGGGTAGTTTCCTTTCTATAACAAATGAGGCCTACACACGTGCCGGGGTCACCGGCGCACGTGTTTGCAAACGACGGAATTAGGTATGGTCGTAACTAGTAGCGCCATCTCCAAATGGGCTCAGTTGGCAGACGAACGAACTTTGTTGTCTGCTATAGTCACGCACAGCCTATCCTATCACTCAGCGGTCTACGAGAATGCGGCGTTAGCCGATAAGAACGTCGAAGAACGAATCATGAAGCAAGAAGCCTTCACTTCTGATACCCCCGATAACGATACGTGATAACATGCGATACATGCGCAAATGCAGCGCCGGAGTACCCGGTATCTTTATCGGAGTAATCGGAGCGCTCTATTAAAGCTCTCTATAAAACCTTTCAGCCTTTCCACTCTGGTGAAGAAAGAAGACTAGCGAAGCTGTACTATGGTGGTGATGAAGCAATGGCCGGCCGCAAGTCGGCAAGCCAGAGTGGAAAGGCTCGAAAGGTTGCCGCCGTCGCTCATAGATGGCGGTAGCTGTCCAGAGTTTTGTGTCATCATTTGTTTGCTGACGGACACGATCTTGGGGAAACTAGCCTTTAACAGCTCCTCTGTAAAAAGGCATATCACCTCTCTCATGAAACCCAGGGTTATAACATATTCCGAGTTGATAAAACCTCCAACACCCAGCGCCCTTCAATGTTGCCAACGGGACACGTCCCACACTCCCTTGTGCCCCTAGGGTCAGCGCGAGGCCACGTCCCCACAGCAGCGGATCCAGAAGATCACGTCCAGCAACCCGCACCACACGGACTCTCCGTTCTATGACCCGACCGGAGCCCCCATGAAGCCCGTGGCGAGGCTGACGGTCACGCGGCAGCGCATCTACGAGAAGTCGTGCGACGAGGAGGTCGAGCCCAACACTCCGCCCCCGCTCGAGACGCCCGTGCCCGTGGACCAGAGGCGTGAGTACTGAGGCTTCGTAACACTGTACACGCATTTGCGCTTTAGTGTGACCGACCGACACCACCGCGAATGATCGAGGCCTGAGAACATCCTCCTCTTCCTGGATAAAACCTCATTACAATCGGTCATGGGCGTAAATCCACTGGAATTCCGAGGAGGGACATGCAGTTTGTAGTGGTAGCCATTTTAAAAACAGCCTTTTATTTGAGAAAAAAAAAAAAACAAAAAAAAACATTGCCGCCCGGAGAGAAATACTACATAAAAAACGTAACGAAAAAAACAACTGACTTAGTTGTTTATATAGCAGCCATGAACTTCATGGTTTCGCATGTCACAGTCGGTGATCTACTTATCAGAAAAATGTGATTTTGAGAGTTTATTTTCATTTTACGAGTAAGGGCTTTAAAAATGGCAATACCAGTTCATCAGTGAGCATACTTAAAATAACCGTTGATGGTAAGTTACCTGTAGACCAAATACAACGCGCGCATGCGAACAATGTAGTGTTTGAAGAACAGGGTGTCTTATGGTGTCCTCGGTAGTCGAGAAATTTAGCCAGGGCTGTAAGGCCCTAGAAACATTGAGGCTGCCGAATTTCGAATTTCGGCTGAGTGTGCGCCGAAGTGTTATGAAAGGCAGAACGCTGGCGCTCGTGGTGGGACGTCTACATGATTCTTAACCTGCCTGTCGCCGACTACATCCTACATATCCCACTAGGGTTGAAAGGTGGGCCAGTTGGCAGCAGTTCATGATGAAATAAAAAGCGCGCAAAAAACAAGGACGAAAAAGAGAGGACACGTGCGACAGACACGCGCTTACTCGCAACTGAAGTTTTATTCAAACTTGTGAAAACAGGAAGATAGTTCCCTGCACCGGCTGCACATGCGCCATTCAATTATCCCCACAAGCGCTTACTCGCGGATAAGAATGCTTCCTCAGCATCTGTCAAAGCAAGTAACGGGTGACTTACAAAGCCATCACCAAAAGTTTTGATAAGGAAAGCCCCTATACACTCCGTGCGACGCGACTGGCGCGCCGCCGCGCGGCCGGTACCGAAGGTAGGCAGTGAGCACCCCAGAGAAAACGAAACCGAAACCACGCCGCGTACGTTGGTACGCGTTGAAGTCGGAGTGGTGCTTTTGCGCTGGGTTCACAGCATGAAGTGCTGCCTGTGCTGCGTCATTAAGTGCTTCAATAGTGATGCGTCGTATCTCGTGGAGACAAAATTTCACAGTTTTTCACCTCGCCGATGTTTTGTGGGGCAGCGACAACGATGGAGCCGTGCCGTACGACGCGAGAAATTTGGTGTCCCGATCATGTCTGCCACTGTGTCGGCACGGCTGACATATTCTACACTGCCGCTTTGCGCTCTGCGTTTGTTTTCGTAGCAGTAACGCCTACATGTGTCAGCGCCGATAGGACGAACTGAAATACCATCCCACACTCGCGGGTATGCAGTGCCAATTCCGTTGGAGGAATGCCCTCCAAAGAAGTTTCGTCCCCATCGTACGTGTCGTTGATATTTCCGGACAAATATGGCACGCAATCTGTACTTCATGAAGAAAGATTCGAACGGTAAAAAAAGTGACAAATATAAATCTAAAGAAAACAACCATGAAACTCGGAATCACTGGAGAATCGGCGTTTGAGTATGGAAGTTTATGTGGTGTGCTTTCTTTCTTGATCAGCCTAATTTTGGATGTGGAAAAGCTGACACCCCGAGTTCTGTAGACAACATTTTTTTTTCTCGGCTTTAGAGCCACCTATCGCAAGTGGTTCGAACTGGAAGTACCGTCCACTGGTCCCTTCCTACCTGTAAAGTGTGCACCTCCCGCGAGGAGTGGTATTTTCTGACAGCCTTTGACGGTCAAAGCCAGTTCCCATTTAGTTATGCCGCCCAAAACTAAATTTCCACCTGGTTTCACTATGCCAACTATTTTTTGTTATAATAAGTGTTGTGCCAAGTGACGGTCATGTCAAAGTACCTGTGGGCCGAAAATCAGCACCTCGCACAACAGGTTATTACACAACAGCTGACCGCAAAAGCCCTTGGCGGCCAAACCTTGTGTTGACCGACAACTTCGTCTTCTCGGCTTTGGAACTACCTTTCGTAAAGTTGTTTCAATTGGAAGTACAGTCCACTAGTCCCTTCCTATCTCTAAAGTCTCCACCTCCTCCGACCAGTGGTATTCTCTTGACAGCCTTTTCATGATCAAAACCGGTTCCCATTGAGTTACGCCGCCCAAACCAAATTTTCACCTGGTTTCCCTATGCCACCTTTTTTTTTTGTATAATAAGTGCTGTGTCATGTTACTGTCAAGTCCAAGCACCTGTGTTCCCAAATCTGTACTTTGCACAGCAACATTTTGGGTACAATATTGGATATACCGTACAGCTTTATTTCTTTATTCGTTAGAAACAACTTTCACACCTGCTGTCTTAATGAAACTTGGCACACTTCGTGCAGAAACTTAGTGAACATCTCACTCGCCTCCAATATCATCGTTCCAGCAGCCCTGCGTTTACAGCGACGAGCGAAATAAATTTCCCACTCAAAGCAATTATGGTGGCGGCCGTCTTGCTTTTCGGAAAATTGCTCCAACTACTTTTTTGTCCGCAACTAGAGAAATTCCCCCGAATAACGACTAAAACTCAATATATAAGAAGAGGAGAACAGCTAAATGCCCTTCTTAGGTCTGCCCCAGCATTCATGCAACGTCACCCTCAACGTATCGGCTCAAAAAGCAAAAGTTCCGACCGTGCGCGCTTCCGCCGCCACAGCTTGGCATGCGAAAAGGCGCCGCAGGCTGCTGAACGCGCCTCACGGTCGAACGCCAGCTCCTCCGCTAGCGGCGCTGCGCGCGTTTTTCAAAGCGCCCCCTATAGTTCCCGCACGGAGTGTATAACCTCCCTCGCTCTCTGCTCCTTAAATCGTCCTAAAATATTGGTGTTTTTAAAAACCGGAGCAAGTTTGAATAAAACTTCAGTTGCGAGTAAGCGCTTGTCTGTCGTACGTGTCCTCTCTTTTTCGTCCTTGTTTTTGGTGCGCTTTCTATTTTATCATGAGCTACATATTCCTTTTACCCCTGAGTTGACAGTGCAGTGCAACGCCGTTACGCGGCCATCCCACCAATCAACCACCTCCCTTTCATCCCCTGACCAAATATTTTCTCTGTGCGAAGGTATGGGCGGGTGCGTGATCACGTGACAAAGTAAAAAAAAAACATACGACTGGTCCAACGAGCAAGTAGCTTCTACCGAATTGTCAAGTTAACAGTGAACCGAGCATACGCTACAGGCAGCAGCTGCAAGAAATTGATCAAATGTACTTCTCGGGCCAACAACGAATTTTTTTTTTTTTTTTTTTTTTTTTGCCTTGTCTAAGTTTGGTTTTTTCAAAGATACCAGTGGTTATGGGAGGTCGCATGTAAAGGAAGACACTGAGACTGACAAATGGTAATAACGTTTCTTTTAACGCTATTACGTTTGTTTTGTGTTCGTGTATGCGCAACGCTTTCGGATGGCCTTAAATCCATTCCCAGCTAGATGTAGCCACTCTTGCCTCATGCTACAACAGACCATGGAAGAACCAACGAAAGGAAGGGGTATGAAATATTTGAAGTAGGTATAAAAGACTGCGAAAAACACTGACCAGGAGTAAACAGGCTCGCCAAAACCGGGTGCTGATAGGACCGAGCGGTTATCTGGTAGAGGGACGATTCGAACCAGGCGCACGACAGAACTCCAGACTCGCATGGACGTCGGCAGGAGATGCAAAAAAGGCACTTCTCCAAGCAAGACTCCCCTCCTCCCTCCCCTGTCAGACAAAAACAAATGGAGAAACAACCGAAAGAAATAAAACAAAATCGACGCACTTCCTTTCAAAATGTTATGAAAAAAAAAAAAAAAAAGCGCAGCCTTTGTGCATGCGGAAATAAATGAGGAAAAAATTTTAAAAAATCAAGATGTCCTTCCCTGTATCCACAAAACATTCAAAAAGCCATTTGCTTCTTCGACCAGACAAGTGATGAATTCCAGATTCCAGCTTGAGTAAGAAGTTGGTGAAACTGACCGAAAAACAACTTCGTTTCCCCCGCAGGTCGGCTTCAAGTGCCACTTGATACCGTTTCCTTTCGACGAAGTCGCCATACCAACCTCTTTTGTTGGTGTCCTCGTGTATCCGCCTCTCCGTCGAGATGTTTCCGCGGTGTTTTGCTTACGTGTGTTCGTTTGGTTTTCCATCCTTCGTTTGGTTCTCTACCCTTTTGTTGCCGGCGTCTGTCCGGGCCGTGAGGACTCCCCAGTAACGATCCTGGCGCACGAAACGTCCGCAGCGTAACTTCACTTAAGATCTTTATAGGGTCCTTCCATTTATATTCTCTGTAACTCTGCGAGCCCCGTGAGCTACAGAAGCCCAAAAAAGAACTGGGAATGGAAAACCTTATACCAATCGCGCTAACATGATCAAGGCATTTCAGCGGGCGATAAATTCTAGGGTAATGAAGTATCTCGATTGGGAGAGTTTAATGCCGAACACGCACTTTGGGTTCCGACCAATACGTCGACTCAGAATGTTCTCCTTTGGATCTATAAGGACCTATTAGGGAGCCCGAAGAAGTGTCAGACTAAGTGCATCCTGGCTCTTGATTTGAAAGGCGCATTTGATAATGTCTTACACGAAAGCGTGCGTCAAGGACTCAGCGACATTAACTGTGGCCGGAGGACCTTCGAGTATATACGTAGTTCCCGAACGAACCAAACGGCTACGTTAACGCTGAGTAGCATGACGTCCAAGGTCTACAAACTAAGATCGAAAGGGACGCCGCAAGCACCGGATCTCTCTCCGCTGCTATTTAACCTGGCACTGCGGGGTCTACCTGAAACACTGAGAGCGGTTTGCGGAGTGGAACACGCCATCTACGCGGATGATGTTACCCTGTGGTGCAGGACGGGCAGTGACGTGGAGATTGAAGAAAGGATACAAGAAGCAGCTCGAATA